CCCCAACACACACACACAGAGGTAGAGGCTGCCTCAGCACTGGGGGTGTCATCTGTACTCTTCCTTCCTCCCATCACACCTGAGAACGGGAAGCTATTACCGTGAAAAGTATTTCAGGGAAAGAAAAACAAAACAAAACCAGGAGTTTCTGAATTTCAGCAAATGAAATGTAAACATCTCTCAAGGAAGAAGGAAGAAGGACAGGGGAGGTGGTCACAATGGGAAGATCATAGTGTTGAGAAAGGGAAAAAGGAAATGGAATAGGAATGTGGAAAGGAAATACAAATACTAGAAAATTACTTTAGCTACTTGAGATTTTTATCTGTAGTCAGGCCCATGTCCAAAAGGGTAAGGAGAAAATGTTCTTTTCTTGACTCACCAGAAGGAAAAATTAATATAAGTAATAAAAATTACTGCTGTCTAGCCTAAAAACCTGACGGTCAGTTATATGTTCTTATGAGAAAACTAAAGTTCCAAAAGTATCGAGCCCATTGACAAGTGCAACAAGCAAGATAGACATGGTTCCAGCTCCATGCTCAATGGGAAAATAGCTTAAAACTCATAAACAAGCAAATAACATTACACACTGTGACAGGCACTACGAGGAAAACAAAGTGTGGGGCCAGAAAATAGGTTGGGGGTGTACATTTTAGCAAACGTGGCTGAAGTATATGAAGAGATAACATTTTTACCAGAGTCAGAGGAAGAGAAAGAGCAAGCCATTCTAAGAGAGGAGTGACCAGGCCCCAAGACAAGAAAAAAGCTTGTCTTAAACAGTTATTTAAGAAATCATGACAGGACAGTAGTAACCCATACAGGAGGTCAGATTAAATAGGGAGGTCAGATTAAATAAAATTTGAAAAGCCAAACAATGCAGCAATTTATAGATCACAGCTGGGAGCTGAGATTTTACTCTGATGTAAAATCAATGAACTTATTTAAGATATGTTAAATTTTGTAGCACAGTCTATTTGTTAACTGAGGATATGTTTTCACAAATCATAATAGTAAAAATGAATAGTCTTTAAACAGTAACAATTCCCATCCTCTGTAATCCATTTACAACAGTATATAGATCACAGCCCCCTAGCTATGGTAACTTTTCCACTTGTAGTCAGCAAATTCCCTTCCTCTGATAGAACCTGGCTCTAGTTAACTGTTCCATTCATAGCATTCAGCATTATTTTGAAAGTTTTCTTGTTTGTTTGTTGTTGTTTTGGTCTTTCCCTCACACTGGTGTGTAAATTCCAAGAGTGCAGGGGCCACACCCATCTTAACATTTTTTCCTGATGCTTACATCATTCAGAACACCATATAGGTAACTATTTGTACTTATTTGTGGAACAACAGTGAACAAATAATGATTCATCTGGTATTTACTGAGCTCTTAGTGGTCTTAGACCCTGAAGGAACAGAAAAATTGAAAGTGACCATGCCCTCAGGAAGTTCAAAGGGGGAAAGGGCTGTTGATGAGGTGTCCTTGCCAACAGCTAAGTTATAACATGTTGCAAATAAACTACTGTGGGAGCCCAGAAGAGGAGACACATATGGTCTAACAAAGAATTTCTCTACGTGGATGCGAATCTTTATATGAAAAGTCAACAAAGGGACAAAAATAAAATCAGAAATATTTAATGAATACCTTTACTAACATTACACATGATTTGTGGACCTTAAATATATGATTTGGAACATCTGGGCTACAGCAGCCAGGGATCATGGCATGCTGCCTATATTATTCCTGTGTTCCGCATTCGGGGACATCTGACAAGTAGCACGTTAAAAAAGAAATCTCCAACTGTTCAGCAAAGCATAAGGTGAGCTTACACAATACCTAACCTGTAGTGTGAAATTCCAGAATTCCCATCATCCCATGTTCACTGCTGCCAAGTTTTGAGCTGCACTGATACAGCACTCTGTCTATAATGCGCTCACAGGAACTGGTGACTACATAGCTCTTTCCAAACTTTATGACACTAATAAAGGAAAATACTTATGATCAGCACTATTTGGGAAAGGGAGTAAATTATAAAAAGGAAAACTAAGAGGATCACAGGATTCCATCCAACATTATTTAACAAGTGATACAGAGAACAAGCCTAGCAAAAACAAAAGCCTTTTCAGCAGACTTGGAAGCAGAAACAATACTGGGTAATACAATTTAGAGCTACGATTCCCTTCAAGTGAACTCTTGCATTCTTTAAAAAAAAAATAACCACTTCCTCTTGAAAACAGAAGCAAAAAGAAGGCATTTTATAGACTTTCCCCCAATCCCTTAAAAATAAGACAGCACAACAGGAACTTGAAGAACACCAGTACTGTGGCCAACTTAAAGAAAAGTCTCCCTCTACCCACAAAATAGATTGACTATGCAATAAAATTTAACTGTTGTTAGAAAAAGTTTAGTGTTATAAATCAAACATTTACTAGTGCTTATAATGTAAACTTAAAGAGAGACTGGGTGTGGGAGAGGAAGGCAAATGAATTCATCAGACCATAGTTGTAAATAGTTATTATTAACTGGATAAGAAATAAAGAAGCTTCTGTCAGAACGGGTTAATACAAGAAGCTGATTTATCTAACTTATTTCTTAAACGGGAGGGCTGTAAAGACAAGTTGTACGAGAGGCTTTGACCTAGTTTTCCTCTGTACAGAACCACCATGTGCTAAAATGCTTTTAGAACGTCGATTTCCAGGATTTTATGTGAACACCAATGATTCTAAAGTAGTAATGCACTAAATGACCTCTCACAGCCTAACTTGTGAGTCGATGTAATAACACACTCCACACATTCCTACTAGTTGGAGAACAAAAACTTAATTCTTTAAGTTAGGGTCCACAAAACCCTACTATTTGGTGAGCCACAACTATGAATTTGCCTGCCACGATAACACGGATAGAGTCCATTAGAGAATGGCCTCTAGGAGGGTTTGAGAAAAATGCTCTCTTCAATACCAATGCTCTAAAACGGCAGCTATGACCCAAAACACCAAACTGCAGAAAACACGGCTAACCCTGAAAACATCCTATTCGTCCAATGTCCCCGGGAACACAAGCCACCACTCACACTCCCCTGTCCTCTCTCCTTCCAAGAACACCTCTGAAATAAACCCTAGCTGGCAATCTTCTGAGTTTGTCAATATACGTTGAAATTTCTAGAAAAGTTGCTGACCAAGAAAGCGTGGCCCTGCCCGAAACGCCAGCACCGCATTCCGAAGGGAGGACAGCCCTGGCACAGGATGCCACCCAGTTTGTGGATTCGGCAGCCCTGGCAGGAGGGTCTGCAGCTGACAGCAAGGTCGGCCCCGCGCCCCCAGCCCACCCCGGCCCAGCCGGGTCCGCCGGGGCTCCGCACCCCGACTCCCGGCGCCCGCCCCGCAGCTCCGGCTCCCGCGCGGCGCCTCGCCACCCCAACCCCCCCTCCCCCCGGCCCCGGGGCGGGCGCCCCCGGCCCGCCCCACACCCCGGCGCGCGAGGCCGCCCCTCCAGGAAGGACGGCGTCCGCGGGGAGTCCCCACAGCGCCCGTCCCGGCGCCCCACCCAGGGCGGGCGGCGCTCCCCACCCCTCCCGGGGCGCGCCCCCAGCTCGTCCTTCGCCCCCCCGGCACTGTTCCCCAGATGGAGCCCCAGAGTCTTACCCGACCCCCCCACGCACACCCCTAGAAATAAGACCTCCGCTTCCAGCCGACTGGGTGACTCTGAGCAGCGGCAGCTCCTTTACGACACTTTCGCGATTGCCGTAAAGCGCGGCCGGGCGGGCGCGCGGCGGCGCGTTCCTGCGTCGGCGCGCGCGCCCGGGCCCGGGCTGGCCTCTCGGGAGCGCGCCCCGCGCGGGGCCCCGCCCCGTCTCCCGCCCTGAGCCGTCCCCCCGCGGGCTCCCGACCCGCGGCCGGCGCTGGCGGGACGTGCAGGCCAGGTAGGCCGAGGGGGGCGGGGGCCCGGCTCCCCGGGCTCTGGAGGCGCGTGGCAGAGGATGGAGCGGGGGGGGGGGGGGGGACGGGGCGCCCCCGGGGCTGACGCTGCGGAGCGCGGGTGCTGGGCGCGTGGGGACCCGGGCCAGGGCGGGCGCCTGGGCCCGGGGGTGTCCAAGCTTCCAGCCTCGCCCTCTCCGCACCCCCACCCCGCGGCCCACCCACACCCCGAGCCCCCCCGGATCGAGCCGGCCCCCGCCCCGCCGTGTAGGCCCTGCCCTTGGCGGAAGTGGGGGTCCGCGCTTGGACCCCCTGCGTCGCGCCCCTGCTTGCTGCAGCGGCCTGCAAGGCCCCCCCGGCTTGTTTTAAGCGGCCACCTCTGCCCCCAGACCCAAAACACTGCTGAGGAGTTTGCCTTGCAGTTGTTACCCCCGAGGACTCAGATTCCTCGGTGGCTGGTAGAGGGGAAGGTTTGAAATTGAGGTGCCGGTGACCTTGTGTTTACACCGTCAGGTCTACACTCGCAGTTCTCACGTGCACGGGAAGGCCCGACTCACCGTGTACATGGCCAGTGCTCTGTGCCCGCCAGCCCGTGCTCTGCGGGAGGACTCGCTTGCAAAACACAGAAAATACAGCAGCAGCGTTTTGAACGCTAGCCCCCCAAATTATCTTTTAACTTTGTATCCAAATGCTGCTCTGTAATTTGCAGTGTATATGCAGATTTATTCCCCTGTGTATTCCTTGTCATTTAATCAAGCTCCTTTAAAAGCTGCTTAATGAAATGCTGGGCTTTTTAGATGTAAGCATGACAAGAGTAGTCCATTTGTCAGGCCAAGTTCAAGTTTAGGAAAACAACCATTTTCTGTTATACTTTGATTCATTCTGTGTAGACTTTCTCTTCACTTGGAATATCCAGGATTTAATTTCTTTTTGTTTCTTAGTCACCTCTTTGGAGAGACAGCTTAAGGAATTCATCTTATTACCAGTGGCATTTAAAAATTTGTGAATTTTAAAAATTGTAACTGCAGTTCTGGTTCATGGATCTTCAGAGAAGCAGAAAAGAAAGATAGGTGAGAGACGCAAGAACATTTTGTTAAGCACTTTTGTTGCTGTGTGAAGGTTGTTTCTGCATATTTTCAAGTATTGAAAGGTTTTTTAAATATTAACTATTAAAATTCAATTTTGCTTGCTTGGCATTCAGCCAGCCTGCTTCCAGCTTTCCAAGGTCACAGTTGTATATAATCAATACATCAGCTTTCATAATATTGTTTGCTTGTTCTGTTGTACTCTAAGAAATAACTGTTTGAAATGGGTACTTTACAAATCATAATACTGCAACTCAAAGAAGTTAAGTAACTTGCCTGAAAAATATAGAGGTGGTGAAGCTAAAATTTCCATTTAAATAAATCTGATCTCACAGTTGTGTTTTCCTCACACAGATTATTGAACACATTATTTTATTTGATAATAAGCTATTATTCTTTGCTGTTTTTTTGTTTGTTTGTTTTGGTCTTCCTTGGGAGGGAACTGTTCTTTGTTTTATTCTTTTTGAGGTCAGGGAAAGGTATCTAGTAAGAGAAAGGATAAGAAAATCGATATCTTGATTTAAAATATTTTTAATTTCAGATGGTACAACATCATTAGAAAACACCAGTTTTAGCTTGTGTTTAGTTCTTTAAAGAAAATAACCTGTTAACAATGTGAGCGCATAGTATCCTACCTATGCATAATATTGGTATTTTGATTTGAAATTATACATATTTAAGCAGGTGAGTTGAAGCAATCTCTTATTTTCTTTGTATATGGATTTCGGGATTTACAAAAGGTGTAAATTTGGACAGATAGGAAAACTGATATTCTGTGAACTTGTAAAACTAATCGTTGGTCTTTTACATTCTAAAAAAGGAACAAACATTTATTGACCACCTATGAAAATATCTAATATATGTTATTTGGTTTATGAATAAATATCTACAAAATGGGTGCTATTTTATATCATTTAATAATTAATCCCCAAATCTATTCTAACATTTATTACATAGCAGCAATGTGTTAGGTGCTTTGCTTCCCATATGTCAGTGCAGTCCCTGCAATAACTGCCCAGCACAGCCCAGTAGAACTTTTCCACAACCCTGGAAATGTTATTTTCCACTGCCCTGTATGATAGTAACTATAATCCTGTGGTTTTTGAACATTTGAAATGTGACTAGTACAACTGAGGAACTGAACTTTTAAATTTTATTTCATTTTCATCAGTTGAAATTTTTATTTAAATAGCCACATGTCACTCATGGCTACTGTAGTGTACAGTACAGCCTTTGTAGATATTATTACCATTTTTCAAAAGAGAAACTAGTTCAGATAAATTCCTGAAGCTTGTAGAACTTCATATAGTTTTATATAGTTTTTGAGCAAAATAGTATTATAGGAATGGTAATTTGTGGTGCATAATGAATAAATGGAGTAAATGGAAGAAAGCAGGTAAGCAGTTACACTGGGAGCTGCCAGGAAGTATGGTTACAAATGACTGGAGATAGGTTTACCATCACTTAGTGACAGAGTGCGAGGACTATGGAAGAGAGAACCCAAGCTTACTGTGAGGTGTGAGAATCTAGGTAACCTGGAAAAAATGATAATAACTATTTACTGAAACAGAAAAATCATGCACCTTGTTGAGGCTTAAGAGGATTTGGTTTTGGCTGTTTATTTTGATCAAAAATATTTATTGAATGATCATTATGAACAAGGCCCTCTGCTATGCTGAAGTAGAGGAATGTACTCATTCAGCAAGGATTTTATCAGTTAAGACACTCTCCTAAGTTTTTATGCAGGTGGAAGGTAATGAGCTGTAAGAGATGTACAATTCAAGTTTTCTCAGAGGAAGGGATACTGCATTCATGATGCAGAGGGATCAGGGCAAGGTGTGTATGGGTAATGATATTTGAGCTTGTTTTTGAAGAATGAGAAAGATTTGGACAAGCTGAAACAATTAAAGGAGGGGGAGGCTGTGCTTTTTTACCAAAACCTCTAAAAGCTGAATATCTTGGTCTCCTAAATATGTGGCAAGTTTTGCATAGTAGGAAAGAAAGGAAGATCTCCAAGTTTAAAAGTCAGAGAAGTCTGTTATTAGAGTAGTAAAGTGTCGATTATGTCTTCTTTGGGGCATTTGGCTGATAGAAGTGTTAATACATGACTGTGGGGTACCCAGGGATCCCAAACAGGAATTGCATACTCTCAAAAGGGTCTGACCATCTGCATAGACAAGGGCAAAGGAAGCATACTCTTAGTGTGAAAGATTTTTAATAGAATTGGTGTGCAGAGAGTTGGGGGGCCCAAGATGGGGGAGGACTTCAAATAATGTCCCAAATTACCCAACCTCATATGGGAAAATGCCCCGTGAAACAGGCCCAGCCTGAAGTAGGGCCACTGAGGCCCAAAAGCTTGCCGTAGATCTAAGGTACCTCCTGCCTGGGAATCACAAGACAAGGGCTAGGCAGGTCCCAGAGAGTTGGGGCAGAAGGAGAGACTCAAATTTTAAAATGTACCACATCATCCACTATAAAGTCAAGATAGTGGCTGCCACTGTCTCTGCCAAGGACCAGGAACAGCCTCTACGTTTACCTCACATCTCTTCCAGGTGTCTCTCCACATCTCTTTTTATCCACCTTGCTTCTTCACAGCTTTCCCCCCATCCAGGAAGTCTGCTGGGAAGTATAGTCCAAGGCAAGTGTGTGTCAGTGGTGGTGGGGAAAATGGCATCTGTTCTGTGCATCTCCCCCTTTCATAGAGATCTATAGCAAAAGGAATAAAGCCCAATTAGGGACAGGGCTTTCCCTGCTCTCCACCCAAGGTAATGGCAGTAGAACTCATGTCCCTTTGACCTCCCAGGAGCACAAGTCAGGACACACCATTCACATGGAAGTTTGTGTAAATGAGGCCTGTGTGTCAGGGATGACTTTTTCATAAAAAAATAAAATGCAAATATTTTCCACCTGACATTGTCCAACTCATGGCCTTGGAGAACCACTTCTCCACTTCCCTGCAATTCAGTCAGGACCCTCAAAAAATCTACACACTTAGGAAAAAAAAAATCTCGGGCCTCCCTGGTGGTGTAAGGGGTTAAGCACTGCACTATGAAGAAATCCATAGCCTCTGCAGCAAGAGTTCGATCCCCGGCCAGCTAGGGAGCAACCACATGGCACAGCAGACCTCTCCTGACTCACCTGCTGCTCCCCTCAGCATTGTACTTCGGTCACTCTGCCTGTTCTATTCCCCACTATCTCTGGTGAGTCTTCTCATCCCCTGCATCTTTGGCCTGTACCTCAGCTCTTGTATGCATAACTAAGTAAATCTTAAAAAAAAAAATCTCCTTCCTGGGAAATGGAGATCACAAAGAAATGTGTTCATTTTCACTACAGCTCCAAGCAGGGGAATAAGATACCACCTGAGGACTTGAAACTCTAGGATCTGCCATCATTGAGAGTCAAGCTTCAAATTTACTTATTCTTATGGCTAAAAAATCCTGCAAACAAAGAAATTAAAGTCTGTCCAGGTTGTTTGTGTGCTAGAGTGCCTGACAAAAATAAACACAGACTCTCCCTAAAATGATTCACTCTTAACCAAGCCTTTTAGGACACTACCAGATTAAGATCATGTAAATATTGAGATCAAGGCAAAAGCCATGAAACACATCTGCAGGGGTCAACAGAACCTACACGGGAACTAGAGAACTTTATGTTGCAATCTTCAGAAACAAAGTCAGATTTGAAGAGAGGAAAGATGAAAAGTTAAAGATTTTAGAAATTGAAAATTTGTTAAAAGTGAGAATGATCAGAAAGCACTATTGGAATTTGGCAAGAAATTGTCATGAGTACCTAAATAGAAGAAAAAAGTGTTGATGGAATGTTGTAGACTGACAAAAAAAAAAAGGAAGAAAGGAGACCGTTAAGACAATGCAGGCAGGAAATTGCTTACATCAAGCCTATAATGGTCACTGTAGGGAGGAGGGAGAAGCTTATTTAGCAAGATTTGAATGTACATATTTAGCAACAAGTCAGCTGATGAGAGTTAATGACATGTACAAGTCAGAAATTGCTGAGATTTCATTTGGAAGGTCAGTCTGAGCTGAGGAAGCTGAGTCCATTGGAGGGCTGTAGAGGTAAGAGTTGGGGATTTTTATAAAGTTCTTGGGAAATGCATCGGTCCATCCTATGAGAAGATGTGTCTCCACCAACTATGATTTTCACAGGCATAGCAGATTTCTTGTAATTTGAAAGTATTTCTCTATCCTTAAAAATTAAATGCATGAAGATCGACAAATGTTTTCTAATTTGTATTTTTATTAAATTATTGTGACTCATTATCGCTTACCTGTGTCCTCAGTCTGAACGTGAAGGAACAGAGTACTGAGGTGTGGGGTATACATGTGTATTTAGGCTGTCTTTTTCTTTGACCCCTCATGTAGGAGCTAGAAATGTAATGGTGAACAAAACAGTTGGTTCCTGCTTCACAGAACTACAAGTCCAGTAAGGAAGTAAAACTGAACAAGTAAGTAACTATTAAGTGTGATGAGCATCCTGGCTGGGGAAGTGAGGGCCACAAAGCTGGACACTCCGCTGAAACCAGTAGAGTCAGGACTCGCAAATGCGGGGAGCTGGCTAGTGGTGGTGGGGCAGCCAGGGTGTTGGCTATAGTCTAGCCCTTGCACAGAATGGTGTGCCTGAAGGGTAAAGTGGGCAAGGCAGCATGACAGTGGTTTGGTTAGAGTGGAACTGCTGAGTTTGAATCCTCTCTTCAAGTTCCAACCCTATGACCTTGGGCAGTTTTTTCAACCTCTATAATTCTCTTAAGAGGAGTAAATGAAATTATGTACTTAAGGTGTTTAGTAACATTGTTGACAGGATACAAACACTGTGTTTTTATGATGATGAAGATGGTGATAAGTAGAGCCAAGAATTAGAAACAGAGTGGCCAGGGATGAACATACAGAGGTCAGCAGAGATCAGACAACACAAGGACCTTATAACCATATGAAGATGGAAAGACAATTTGTAAGGGTATAGGGGCGTCTTCGTAGATACCAGTGGTCCGATTGTTACTTTAGAATTAGAAGCATCACTCTGCTTTTAGGGTGGCGTCTAGATTGGTTGTAGTACAAACGAGAGGAAGACCGTTTAGAAGGTTACAATTATAGTGTGGCCATGAGATGATGGTGGTTCCGATAGGGTGGTGCAGTGAAGACGGAGAGATGGGTAGATGTGAATGAAGTTTAGGAGGTGGAATAAACAGTACTGGGTACTTGATAATGTGTGGAAAGATGGGGAAGAGAAGTTCTGGGTATGGCAAGTGAGTGAGTCTTGGTTCCGCTTACTGAGAAAGGAAAGGGGAGCAGTTAGTCCATGCTGTGTGGGGGATGATTTCAGAAGCTCAGGGTGATCAGTAGAAGGTTGTGGGAGAGGATATCTAAAGTAGAATAGATGAGCTCTTATGAATAAATGTTTCAACTTGTCTTTTTATGCGTGAGAAGACCTGTTTGAGATGTGGTGGTTTCAGCAAGGCCTCAGTTTTCTCCCTTCAGCCCTTGTCATTTGGACAGCTGCCGCTTTCATATTTTCTTACATCACTGCTGTCATCCTCCACCACGTTGATCCCGCTTTGCCTTATATCAGGTCAGTGAAATGTCTACTTTTTATAGGCCAATCTTTATGTCTCATTTATATTTTAACATGGAAGCCAACATCTAATGTTCATATCTTTAGTTCATATTTTATCCTTGGCATTATATGCATAAAAGAAACATTAAAAGGAAGTTGTGTGGAGCTCTTTCTATGTGAGAGAGTAATGTGGAGAGAGGGGGTATGATTCAGTACTGAACTGATGAGTGAACTATGACACTTCAGTGCCTTGTCTTCCAAATCAGTATTTGAGGTCTCAGAACACAGCACTGAAATTATTCTCTCCTTAAAATTCAAAGCTGCTGCAAACAACAATTATGATATTAAAAGGTAATGACAATCTTACTGATCTGCTTACTGTGTACGAGGTTGTGTTCTAAGCATTCCACAGTTCTTAAATAATTGAATTCTTAAAATCATCCTTTGAAGTAGAAATGAGATCGGGAGATTGAACTATTTTTTCAATAGCAGCACAGTAAGTGATGGATCCAGGATTCCATTTGGTCATTTAGTTTCACTCTAAAGGCCATGTTCTTACCCTTTACGACACGTTGTCTAGATTTTCCTGCCCGTTAAGTATCAAAATTGATTGGTTATATTTTTGAGATTTCAAAATTACTAATAATGCAAAGCACAGCTACTCCATTGCAAGTTCTCTATCTATAATCCTCTCTTTAAAAAAAGTTATAAAGGCAGTGTGTGCTTATAACAGATTTTAAACACCACTAAAGTATTACAAAAATAAAAAGTGAAAGTCTTTTCCAGTCCCCCTCAGTTCCTGACCCCTCTCCTGGGGGTGACTCATGGTTTAGTTCATTTCCTTCCAGCATTTGGTTTGGTTTGTCATCCTGTTTATACAAAACTCTCTTCCTTTTCTTTCCCTCCTTCCTTCCTTGCATCTCACTTTTGAAGTTTTTTTTTGGGAAATTTTGATTTTGTCTGCTTCGTTTATAAAAAGTGATAAAGCTTGTTGCTAAACAAATTGCTTGTTTCCTTTCTTCTTTCCATTGCTGAAGGATGACCCTGTAATGTATGACTTTACACACGTGTAAAGATGAGGGAAATTCCTAGAGGGCGGGATGGACAGATGGGTATAGTGCATCAGCAATTTTTGTTTTTGACTCTGTCAGCTCTCCCTGTATAATACTCTAACGGTAGTGTATCAATTTGTGGGTACACAGAGAGTATGAAAAAAATTCTAATCATGACTATTTCTGCAGCTTTTAAGTTTTCAACTTTTATATAAAGAAGTTAAAAGAATTACATAAGGAGGGAGTAAAGAAAAAATAATTATTGAAATAACAGTATTAAATATTATTTAGCAATTACCAGTGTTCTAACCTAAATCTGTCTGTTCCACACTGGATATGATCAAGTTTTTAAAAAGTTCAGCTTTTATATGATGCCTTTGAAACATCTCGCCGTGGAGATGTCATACTTCTTTTTTTTTTTTTAAATTGTGGTAGTTGTCTCATTTATTTGCTTGCTTACCTTCTGAAAAATGACCTTTCCAACACAGAAAATAGTAAACTTTAAACGATGATAAAGTAGGAAGTTAAATTTATCTTTTTAAGATGTTAAGTTCAGAGTACTACACTCTCCATTTGTCACCACCTGGTGTGGCATGATACAAAGAATATAAACAAATTGGGTACATTTTAGCAAGACTTACAAAACTCAAAGATATTTTAGAATTTAAGGTGTCAATTCTAGGAATAACTTAATGACTAGTCCCACGGTTCAGAGCTGTGGTGAGCAAACATGTAGCTCAAGGAACCACTTCATTCTTTAGTAGCGCCAAGAGGCTGCCTATATGATTCACAAGGGTGCTTTAGCTTTTTTATTTTCCTTCCTGAGAACTTCTGGGCTTTCATTTTGAAGAGTTTTTAATAATTTAAGAGGCCATTGAGTTCTTATTCAGAGTTTCATTATTCTGATGGTTCTGCATGTGATTTTCTGGTCATGCCCTAGATACTTCTGCTTCTGTCCCTGTCCTCTGCCTTACATTCCTGCTAATAAGCTTAGTATTATTCTGGGATCTTTCTCCAACACTCTAATATATTTCAACTCAATGGTACTATTTTTTTCTCACCCTTTTCTGAGGATTATTTCCTTCATCTGGAAAAATGGTTAAGTAAAACAAGGTATTTTGCAAGCTTCCTCTTAGCTCATAGGCCCTATCTAAAAGGTTTAATTGTTACCGCCCAGAGGACATAGCCAGATGTAAATTTCACTTCAAAGACAATTCCTCTGCAGTTATGTTTCAGGTGTCCTCTTAGTTGGTTCTGTAGTGGGTACCGAAATAGGGTGTGTGAGAGTAGCCCCTGGGGTATGAGAATACTTGATAAGGACAATAAAATTTTAAATTTATATGAAATATCTAGAATAAAATATGATTGCATCTGTTTTGAAGTTGAATGATCAGACCTTTTTTATAGTGGGATAAATACAGTGTGATGACCCCTGGGTTGAAGCGCTGTGCTGATGAGGTGGTGGGAATGGCCAGTGCTGTCCTTCTGTTCCAAAGCAGAGGAAGGCGCACACTGAGCAGCTATCGTGAAAGCACGTGCTTTCGTTGACTTACAGGGTAATCCAAAACTGAAGCATCTTTTGGATTACATCTATTGAAATGGTGAATTTTTTTTTTTTATCTAACTATGAGAATAATACACAGGCGTTGTAGAAAACTTCAAAGGTAGCAGGCACAACAACAAAACCCAGTAAGCCCACTTCCTGAAGATGATATGAGTAACAAAATCTTTCGTATCTGAAGATACATTTTAGAGTCAGAAGGAGCAACCTTACAGTGCCTGTTTTTTCTGAAACTTTTCTGAGACCTCCTACTCCAAATATTCACCACACCCAGGGATTCCTCACCAGACATGCCACTCTTTATTCTCATTATGTTAGCTTAGTTGAGATCCTTATTATCTCCTTCTTATGGTACTCCAGTTGCAGGTCAAAAAACTTTGTCATTTTAATTTTCATAGTAGTTTGAGGGGAGGGAAAGGAACGAGCACTTACTGGGTGTCACCCATGGTAGTTACTTCACACGCATCATCACATGTTTTATTTCATCACATTGATCCAGTGAGACTGGAAGAGAAGGAACAGCTTCATTTTGCAGATGAGGAAACATTCTTAGGGAGATACAGAGAATCCACTCACGATTCTAGTTAGCAATTACTGGCCTGAATCTGGGATCTCTCTCATCCACAGTGGACTGAAAGAGCCGTGTAAGCAGGTAATTGCAGTACAGGCCAGTGAGTGATTCCTGCAGGAGCTGGGACAGGATGCTGTGAGTCAGCGCTCTGCTGAGGGGGTGGCCAGGACTGTGGAGAGGCAGGGTCTTAAAACAGGTCTTGAATGGAAGTTCCAGGAGGGCAAGGACTTGTCTCACTCACCACACTGTATTCATGTCCTTAAAATAGGGTCTGGCATGTAGAAATGCTTGGTAAATATTTCTTAATTAATCAGGAAATGATTAGGTGTTAATTGAATTACAGGCAGAGTCAACAACAGATGCCAAAAGACTGGTTGTACAAGGACCTGTGATTATTTAGGGAATATTCAGGTGAAACGGATGAACATGTCTGCCTGACAGATTAGACAGTAACTGAGACTTACTATGTTGGGATAGCTTCTGTTTTAAAAACCAATTTATATTGATTTCTATCAGGTAAAAAAAAAATTTTAATGATGCGAGAAAAAAATGAATGAGGTTAATATTGTGCCAGTTGTTGTGTTCTTATAAAATTAAGGGTTGGGCCTCCCTGAAGTCATAAGGGATTAAGTCTCAGCACAATGAAGCTGTCTGTGCCACTGCAGCATGAGTTCAATCCCCGGTCAGGAGCTAACCCACACGGCACAGCAGACCTCTCCTGTGTCACTCACTGTTCCCCTCAGCAGTGTATTTCAGTAGATACACCTGTTCTGTTACTCACTCTGTCTCTGGTGAATCCTCTCACCTCCCCACACCTCTGGCCTATACCCTAGTTCTTGGATGCATAAATAAATCTATAAAAAGAAAATAAGTATATATGTGTGTGTGTGTGTGTGTGTGTGTGTGTGTATATATATATATATATGGGTTGGTTTCATAGGCTTATGAAAAGATAGAGGATTTGAAGTAACCCATTATTTCTATTCTCCATAAGAAATACACTTGTATACCTGGTGTGACAAACCACATACCTTCTTCTTTTCTTTCAGTGACACTGGTACAGTGGCTCCAGAAAAATGCTTGTTTGGGGCAATGTTAAATGTTGCTGCAGTTTTATGTAAGTAATGGAGTTTTAACCATCAAAATTGATTGCTAAATGACCTTTCCTTTAAAAAACCCTGTTATGTTGCTGCTTTTACCTCCTAGTTCTGCATGAGGGAATGTTATCACTAAATTGCTTATTGCAAATATACTCCTTTAAAAAACACCAATTTCTAGAAATGCTAAATTATGGAAATAACCTTAAAATATCTACAGACCTATTTGACTCATCCAGATAGAAACTGTAAAGTACAGCCAAGTATTCCTCAAGGCCCAAAGTGGATTCCATAAGCATCCAGTCAAGGACAAAGAGCTGTAGACATCTTGACCACAACTAATCCCAACTAAATCCCTTTAGGATAAACAATTTGGAAGCTTGAGAATAGCAGTGAAACCAGGAGTTTGATTTTTGAGCAGTATTCAAATGCCAAAGTAATGCCAAATTTTTACATTCCTGCTCCTTATTTATATTTTGAGCTAAGTTTTTATTAATAGTTTACTAAAATAATACTTTTCCATCAGTTGTTATTGTTTAACCATTTGCAATCTTCTGTATCATAAGTATCATTTGGTGGGGTATCAAATTGAGGTCAGTTTCCCATTTGACTACCACATTTTCTCTTATTCATAGATTTTAGTGGCTATGCTTGTGGGATAGATTAAAATTGCCATGATCTGAAGAGGGGGGATTTATTTGTGTCCTTCTCCTATATGAAATGGCTGAACAGGAAAAAGAAATGAAGTCAGGAAAATGACTCAGTGTAGAAGCTCATCTTATGAACAACTCTTTGGAAGATATGTCTACAAAAGCAGATTTCTATTATGTTTTTTTACATTTCTGCATTCTTTGACAATGTTTTTGTGATGGGAATTGGTCCTTTCTTGACTAATATGGATGGTAAAGTGGGTCTCTTGTCTGTATCATTGACTGCCATATCTGATTGGGCCACATTGTTGTAATTTGAAATAAAATGATACAAGAGTGAGATAGGGAATTTTTGACATTTTTTTGTGTATGCCCATCTTACTCCTGTACTAGAAATAATTATTTTAAACTTTGATGCTAATCATGTAGAATTTTTTCAGTTTAATATTAACACCATCATTAGAGATTTTCAGAAAACATGAAATTTATCTGTTATGTTTTGACCTAAGTATTTGTAAAGATGGAGGTCCACGGAAGGCAAATGACTCAAGTAATCACACAAAAATGTCAGTAGCTCAATAAGGCAGTCTTGAAGTTCTTTAAAATCTATAGCTTTTTTTGTTTTGTTCTGTCTCAGGTTAATATTAAAATGGAAATCTGTGTGTCTCGGTATCAGTGACCTTTGTGAAATCTTCCTTGTCCACTTTCTTTGTTATTTATTGCATTGTTGCTTCTCAATGATCTCTTCCCAGGCATCGCTACCATTTATGTTCGCTATAAGCAAGTTCAAGCTCTGAGTCCTGAAGAGAGTCGGATCATCAAACTAAATAAGGCTGGCCTTGTGATCGGATGGCTGAGCTGTCTAGGACTCTGTCTGGTGGCCAACTTTCAGGTCTGTGTTTTAGGTCAGCGCAGGTATTTGCTGAGGAACATATATGTGCACATTAAAAAAAGGAAACCTGAATCGTTCAATGACATGTTATTTTCTTTTACTTTAACAAGGTTGAAGCCACTGCCTTTTAAAATGTTTTGTTCTTCGTAGAAACAGCTACATTCACAATCAGAATAACTATTTCTCAATAACCTCTTTAACAAATACAAATAATTCTGACATTTTTTAGGACTCACAGGACAATTACTAGATTCTTAGTTGGAGATTACTCCAAGACCAGAGAGAATTTTTTTTTTTTTAAGATTTATTTATTTATACAAGACCCGGGGTACAGGCCAGATGTGTGGGAGGGTGAGAGGATTCACCAGAGACAGAGTGGGGAACAGAACAGGCAGACTGACGGAATACACTGCTGAGGGGGACGGTGGGCAAGACAGAAGAGGTCTGCCGTGGCACATGGGACCCTTGCCGGCTGGCCGGAATCGAACCAACGCTGCAGAGGCTGCGGACAGCTTCCCAGCACTGCGCTCAACTGCCTGCACCACCAGGAGAGGCCCCAGAGAGATTTGTTATACATAGTGTGACAGAAGTACAGATTGAAACTTATTTTTAATATGCCCAACAATTTACACACATTTGCCTGTTTTATATTCTCGTTTAGATGTTGACATTGATTGTCTGCATTCCGAGGTGCCAGACCCTTCCTCATATGAGAGAGTTAAGGGAAACCAGTAACCCTTGCAGCTTTTTTCTCAGGGAATTCTTCATATTAAAGTAGTGATTTCTCTTCACTAAATATTTGCAAACTCTACATTCGTTTTCTGGTAACATTGTTTCAGATGAGTGTTTGGTAATATTGGCTGTATCCTAGGCATGTGGTACTTTTCTCATTAATCTCTCTGCAGGCTCTCTAAAGTTTCAGTGTAGGCATTTGACAACTTACTTAGACATCTGATAACTATTTTGACATGCAAATATTAACTCATATATATATATATAGAGAGAGAGAGAGAGAGAGAGAGAGACAAACCAGACAGACACACACACACACACACACACACACACAACGCAAGTTTACTTTTTACATACATGCTTCAGGAGCAGGTGTTTTGATTGGTAACCAGCTTACCTCCCACAGTGACTGGAGACGTGGGTGCAATCCGTATGGGGGCACTGATGTTCCCAAGTCCTGTTGTCTGCTGTATCGCCACCGGCTGAAATAGTCAAAGAACATGGTCCTTAAAAGCCTTCACCTGGCTGTGAGTCACATCCCACTGGCATCCATTTCTAGATGTTGGGACCAGGGGATAGTCTTTCTGGGTACCAGTTCCCAGGACAGTTCTATACTATGGGAAAAAATGTAAAATTTTTGGTGGAAAGCTTGCTAGCTGTCTTTGCCACAAGTAGGGCCCTGCCTTCCCTAGACATCTTCTATAGCTCAGTTAAAAATATCTTGTTTTGGGGCCTCCCCTGGTGGCACATTGGTTGAGCGCTGGGCTGCAAGGCTGTCCGCAGCCTCTGCAGCACCGGTTCAATTCCCGGCTGCCGGCGAGGGTCCCACGTGGCGCGCAGACCTCTCCTGCTGCGCCCGCTGCTCCCCTCAGCAGTGTATTTCGTCAGTCTGCCTGTTCTTTTCCCCTCTCTGGCTCTGGTGAATTCTCTTACCCTCCCGCGCTTCTGACTGTACCCAGTGCTTGTATAAATAAATAAATCTTTAAAAAAAGGAAGAAAAAAAAAAACAACTGAATTTCTTTCTCTAAAAAAAAAAATCTTGTTCTGAATTTTTAATTTATGGAAAGTGATTCTTTGCTCCAGTTTTCCCTAGATCGATTGACCAATTTAACAGCATCTCTCAGCACTGTTGGACAGAAATGAATCGCAAAGTGACTGCCGCAAACTCCCTGAAGTAACATAGTGTTTACACACACAGTAAATTCTAGCAACAATTCTTGATAACATCTATGCAAGCTGCCTGTTTACCTTTTTCTTTTTTACCTGCTAAGACAGTTTATATCTAATGAATCAGCTTTCATTCTAATTCACCTTCCCCACAGGAATTCTCGCCTTATAACTGTGAATCAAATTACTTTTTCTCTGCGGATTCTGAACTCTAAGAAATGACCCTGAAAGTGTAGTCTTTCTCTCTCTGGATCACATAGTCTTGGACCTGTTGAATGTCTCTACACCTTTCCCTGCCAGCTGCATTGCTGTTTATAGCCAGATCTGATAACATTACCCACATAGCAAGCATTTCCAGTGAAAGTAAGCTTTTACTGTTCTTTGAAGTGGAGAGTGCATTGCCCTCTCTTTTTCCTTCCTCTCCATTACAGAGACAGACTGTAGTTGATTCACATAGAATTACAGGTACTTGATTCGTATAGGGAAAAGGTTTGCACACTAGGCCTATCAGTGGTTTCCAGCTATGTAGCTGGATGTGGAAGAGAGGCTAGCACTGTATTTTAAAGTAGGAACTTGATGGTTTCACCTCTTCAATATTTCTTGAAAGCAGGTGCTCCTCCATTTCTACCTTCACTTCTCTCCCTACTTCTTCCTTCCTTTCCAATTTAGATTTCATCTTTCAGATGAATGACTGCCAGTCTCCTTAGTGGTTCCTCTGAATTTATTCTTGTATCCTTTTAATTTAATTTATCCTTTTAATTTAATTTAACATTGCAGCCAAAATTATCTTTTGGAAATAGACATTCCACTGTACCCCTTTGTAAAGCTCTGCTGGTCCAAAGTTGTTTGAATAGTGATCTAATCAAGAGAGAAAGAGTAATTTGATAAACTGCCAAGATGCTCAATTAACTCAAACATCTTATGTAATCTGGCATCTGTCTAGCTCTCCTGCCTTGTTCTACATCATTCTTTTGGCTGATGTGTCTGTTGTACATTTCTTTGTTCCCTTATTTAACTCCATCTCACATTCTGTTGACTGTCTACAGGTCCAAGCCTCAATGGTTTAGGCATCTTTAAGGTCTCAGAGCAGACTACTTTTTCAGGGAAAGCTCTTGGTTTGCCCAAGGTCCAAGACTATGTTATCCAGAGAGAGAAAGACTACACTTTCAGGTGTCATTTCTTAGAGCTCAGAATCCACAGAGAAAAAGTAATTTGGTTTTTTTTTTTTTCTCAAATGCATTTTATTTTTTTTTTAATTTTATTTTTATATTTCCCATACAATTGCAATCCCCTTATTTTGACCCCAATCCCTCCTTTCCCCGCCCCCCACCCCCCATAGAGTGTCTCTGGTTCATAGTTGTTTGTCTATTTTGATTTTTACTTTCTTATAGTTATTCTTTTTCCTGGTCTCTTATTTAAGTTTTCTAGATTCCTGCTATGAGTGAGACCATCCGGTATTTTACTTTTTCTTTCTGGCTTATTTCGCTGAGCATGATCCCTTCCAGCGCCATCCATGTTGCTGCAAATTGCATGTATTTATCTTTTTTGAATGCTGAGTAATATTCCATGGTGTATATGTACCATATCTTCTTGATCCAGTCATCTATTTTTGGGCATTTGGGTTGTTTCCATAGCTTAGCTATTGTAAACAGTGCTGCTATAAACATAGGGGTGCAGGTACTCTTTGGAATTGATGTTTCTGTGTCTTTTGGGTAAATACCTAGGAGTGGAATTGCTGGATCATATGGAAGCTCTATGTTTAGTAGGTCCAGAAATCTCCACACAGCTCTCCATAGTGGTTGGACCAGTTTGCACTCCCACCAGCAGTGCAGGAGAGTTCCTTTGAGAAAAAGTAATTTGATTCACAGTTACAAGACGAGAATTCCTATGGGGAAGGTGAATTAGAATGAAAGCTCATTCATTCATTCATTCATTATTTCAGTTTTCTTTCTTTGTTTTATCCAAGCCTCTGTAAAACTAATTCTTCATAGCACTGACTATAATTTTATATCTGTGGTTTATTATGTTTATTTAAAAATTTTACTTGATATACTTCTCATTAATTATAAGAACAGTGGTGCTGTTCATAATTGTTATCTCTAGCAGCTAACATAGTACTTAGCATGAACGTGTCTCATTAAATTTTTTAGAAACTTATTGAGAAAGACAAGAGGACTAAACAGGATGGAAAAAAATATTCCCTTGCTGTTACTATGGTTATTTGCATTGAAAAACATGCCTGGTGGTCATAAAATGATTTTGTTCACTTAGAACAGTGTCTGATACACAAGACGTTCCTTAATAAATAAAAATATTAGATGACTAAGTTAATTACTATCATAGTTTCCGTAGTGACCTGTGAGATCATTTAATTTTACAGTAATGCTCAGGACAGTCAGAGAGAAGAGAACTCAAGAAGGATCTGTTAGACCCTCAGAGCTCTTCTACTAGCGAATGTCCTATTTAAAATCTCTGGTTTGTGCTGTTAAATACTGTGTTGGCAATGTGTTTTGAGTGGCTGTTATTTACTAATTTCTTCTTTCTACTCCTCAGAAAACCACCATTTTTGTTGTACACGTGTGTGGAAGTGTGCTCACCTTTGGGATGGGCTCCTTCTATATGTTTGTTCAGACCGTCCTTTCCTATCAAATGCAGCCCAAAATTCACAGCAAACAAGTTTTCTGGGTCAGGCTGCTGATGTGTGTCTGGTGTGGAGTAAGTGCATTTACCAGTATCCTTTGTTGTAAAATGTGGCTATACTTGGAAAGGAATTGAATCACAAAATTTAAGTGAACACTGTTGATACACAGTAGTCAAATTGCTTGCCATATTGTGGCTGAGACTTTTGAATTAGTAACCCCAAATTAAAGGATTTGAAACATGAAATTCAAATTTTTACATAGACCCTTATAATAACTGAGCTAAGAATAAAGATAATGTTTAGCCTGATTATACCCATTACAAGAAAATGAAAGATGAGTTAAGCCCTCCTTGAGAACTGTTCTGTAGCAGAAGCTTATGCTGGAACTGCTAATTTACTGAGCAAAGAGGGATTGACTATGCAAAACAGTCCGTAGTAATTCTGTGCGCACGTTTTAAGTTTCAGGGCTGCCATCTGACAGTAAGCCTCTAGGAAATGGGCATGGACCTTGGCAACAAATGTCTGAGAAATCCTTTTGGATCTTCAGAATTATTTTTGGTTTAAATCTAATTAAAACTCCTAGGTCTTCTCTGAGATTCTTCCTTGACTGACTTTTTTTTATAGTGCTCACTTGCTCCTCGCTTTTGTACAGTGGCAGTTTTGGCACTGACATAGTACAGAAACTCCATTGGAACCCTGAAGACAAAGTAAGAGTTAAAGTCTGTCAAGCTTAGTTTTATGTTAAAGATGAGCATTTTGGTTGATTTTTGAATAGATTTCATTTTATCCTAACAATGAAAGTTTTGGGTCAAATAATCAGATATATTAGGATTATTTTCTAAGTATGACAGGGGTTATGTAGAAATATCCTGTCACTTGTGATCTGTGGACATTTTCAAGATATAAGGAGAATTACATTGAGTTTTTGCAGAAATTGACTCTTCTTTATGTAGATATTGTATACAATGTACCATACTGAGATATTTTATTATTGGAACACATATTTTCTGAATTAAAAATATGTTATCTCCCACTTTTTGTTACATACAAGTTGATTATTATGGACTCTGCTTGGGTTCAGCAATAAGATATCAGAGTGGAGATGGCATCTTTGATTGAGAAAATAAGAGGGATATATTCTAAATGGATAATAAATGAGTTCATTCATTTTTACAAAACACTCAGTTGCAATTGAAATTATTTTTAGAGAAGCACCCCTATGTAGATGTTTGTGAGAATGAATGAATTGAATAACCTAGTAGATTCTCTGATTACAATTTGTATATTAGTGCACTAAAATATAAGATGTATTAAGTTTACCATGTGCAGTTGGCTTAAACTTTTTTAAGGGTATTTTAAGGATGTTTGATAACTCTTACAAGTTTTGAGAAAGGCTAACTTCTTGATTGTAATTGTCTTGTTTGCTCTAAAAGAAACTAAGGAGCTAGATCATTTAGGAGGCTGTTCCTATTGTCTGCCTTTATCAAGATATGTTGAGTAAATCAGTGGTTGGTGATCAGAAGTCATTAATATAGAATTGTGGTTTTATTTGAGAGAAATTATAGATCACATGGATGAATTTTAAAGAATGATCCTTTTTCCATTGCTATTCAGGGTTATGCGCTCCACATGATCACTACTGCGGCAGAATGGTCTATGTCATTTTCTTTCTTTGGTTTTTTCCTGACTTATATCCGTGATTTTCAGGTAAGAAAACACAGAGTTAGATTTATGCAGTCAAACTTCCTTGAGGAGTAATAAAGAGCACTTATCCGTAAGCAAGTCTCCATGTGCGGAAATCATCCTTAGTGTTTAATTTTACTGATCCTTATGGAAACCAAGGAAAACAGGAAACTTCTGAGTAGAGAAGTTGGATTCCCCATTTTACTGGTACAGTGGATGATATTGCTGACAGTAGAGCAGCTGTCTTATCTGTGTTACTCAGAATTGATTTGCATCCCTAATCACAGAAGGTAGGCTGCAGAAGACATTGAAGATATGACCTGTCTTTATGGAGCCAACTTCTATGTATAATTTTCTTTTTTGTTCTAGAAAATTTCTATACGAGTGGAAACAGACTTAGGTGGATTAACGCTCTATGACACTGCTTCTTGCCCTGTTATCAATGAACAAACAGGACTGCTCTCCAGAGATTTATGACAGAAGGATAAATTCTATATGTGATGATTATGATTCTCAGGGATTCAGGAAACTATCATGAAAGTTACTTATTCTGCTCTGAAATTTTCAACCAAGTATTCAAGGCTGACAGTAACAACCACAAATGCTGGTAATCAAGAGATGCGAAATAAGCCATGGAAAGGATGTCATCAAGAGGAGCATATAAATACATGTATCATGTATGCCTATACTTTTTTTTAATCCAGGAAATAATACCAAAGGATTACAACACTAAGTTTTTTCTACCTTAAGAGAAACAACTAGAAGTCCACCAACCAGTCTGCAAAACCTGGTCTTCCACATTTTGTAAATCATGGTAAAGTATACAGAATGTTTGTTTGGAGCACTTTTATGAGAGACATTTTCCAGGACCCCCAAATCATCAGCATTGCTCCATTGCTCTTTTAGAAATGAGTTTTGAATTAATAACTATCATTTTAATACCTTTTGTATAACCATTATACATTTTTTTTTCCTTCTGGACTCCACTTATAAAGGGAAGCAGATGTGCATTCATGATAAGCGCTTTCATTGCTTAAGCTTTGCACAAGAGATTCTGAAGTATTGATTTGACTCCTGCCTAAGGCTAGACACTACACTAACTCATCTGTCAGATGTGCTTGCAATCGTTTCGTGCAGCTTAATCTCGGGTATGAGTTTTTAATCACTAATCAATGAGAGAAATAGCTGTAGGTTAATTTACTCCAATCATGTTTTACATAAAACAAGGCTGAGTATTTGTACTTAAGACTAAGAGGTTTGTAAATAAAAGGATATGTGATTAATGTTATACAAAAGTCGCTCCAGACTGTAGTGAAAACTGTCTTAGATTTTCATTACATCAAATTACAATTATGAAACCTATTTCTCTCAGCAAATATTGAATCTTTTTAATCGGATATGATCTTATGAAATCCAAATTCTAAAAGGGCAAGATTAACAATTAAAAAAAAAAGCTAGATACAAAATAGTTGTGATACATAGATACAAACTGTGATACATAAACATGTTAAAACACTTTTCTATCTGGTGATGTAAATGATTGGAGACCTTCTCCTTGGATCCCTTTCTGTGCAGATAAAGGATGTTTTACAGATCTCAAATAAAGTTCAAAAGAAAAATACTGATCTGGAAGGTACCCAGGGGAAAATTGGTTTGCAAAAGAATCTCTGAAGATTAAGATTTCATCTTTTAGAAGAAATAATTCCATAGCCAGAATAAAAGATGGTGAGAACACAAGTTAAAAGTGTAAGAAGGAACAATTTAAGGGAAAATGTTTATATAGTGGAACCAGAGATCTCAATTATGAATAAGTTGCTAGATATGACTCTATAAATAATATTTCTGAAAACATCTGGACTAATAAGCAGAAAATGGGATAAAATACTGTTTACCTGTATCAAGGGATAGTGAACATGGGAAACATTCTAATAAACTCTAATTGAGATTTGGTGTCACTAGAAAAAAAAATTGTGCTTCTGAATATCATGGGTGCACCCATACTTGAAAACAGTATCTTCTCCTGATTGCTATACATCAGAGAAGCTGTGTGCAAGTTATGAAGGATCACAGTATGGGCAGAAAGAACTTGATAGGATCAGAATTTACAAAATTATAGAATGTGTAGGGAAGACAGCACAGAGAAGAATGTGGACTTGCATGTCATACTTAGAATACTTGGCTTAGAAATATGTGCTAATACATTAAAGAAAATATTTCAAGAAGAAAATCAGATATACTTGAATTTATTACTTTACTTTTAGAAATAACATAGGTGGAAAGATATTAATAGGTTCCAAAGGGATTATAAATAGAAATTTTGAATGTGTATTCATCTCTCACCTTAAGGCTGAAATAATAGAAGATAATCACCCTCTCTCAAAAATATGCCTTTCATCATCTGATAGAGTTGTTTGGATAAACAGCTAAGGTATTTCTCTTTAATTCAATCACCAATTTTGTATTGAATGTTAAGCTTTAAGAGGTTCTAAGCTGACACATGGAGATACTCTTAACTGTTAGTGAAAAGTCTGTCCTTCTTGTCCAACAAGACTACATTTCCCAGCCTTAAGTATAAGGATGAGACTGAATTTTAGCCAGTGAAATATAAATGGAATGGATATACTTGATATTTTCCTATTAAGGTTTTGAAAAACAGGAATGCTACATCCAAATTTGTTTCCCTGACTTTCACCAATTGGATATTTTAGGAGATGACAGAAACACAAGGTAGGAAGAGCTCAACCACATACCCATTTAATCATATTTTAGAAAGCAAATGAGATATTATTTAGGAACTCCATTTTTATCCATTCCAGTTACTAAGATTGTATTGTATATAGACCAGTGTCGTGTTGTAAATACTCAAATGAATTTATAAAAGAGAAAGACAGCTTTACTTGGTTCTTTTGCAGTGTTTTGTACAGACTGAAATGAAGTTCAGTAAATGGTTTCTTAGTGTCCTTGTAAATCTGTGATGTACATTTTGCCTCTTTTTAGTCAGCCAGAATGCTGATTTTAAAAAGAATGTACTGATTTATTAGAAAGGTAAGGCTATGGTATAGACCTAAAACAAAGGAAAAATCTTTACGGTTAGTGTGAATCTTGACAACATAAGCAACTTATATTGTGAACTGTACCACCCAAAGCCATGGTATTTTGAAAGTGTGAGTTCAGCAGAGGCACAGAAGGATGGCAAAGAACAGAGAGAATGCCTCAGAAACCAGCAAATATGCTATTGGAATGCAGTACAAAGCTCGGCTGAAAAGCAGATTCTATTAGAATGTTAACAGTGCTCAGATCCCAATGTCTGCTGAAAGGAATTCCTGTGCACTTAAAATATTTGGAGCAGAAGGGTGAAATAACTCAAAGTAAAGCAGCAACAAAGCTCATCTCAACTACAGATTAGCACTGAGCCTTGCAATCTAGGAGTGGACTGAAGAAGGGGTTTGCCTTCCCTGAAAGTAACATTTTCATGCCTTCTATTCTTTTCTAAATATATCCAGCATCCAGCAAGCAAAAAAAGATAAGACATGCAAAACAGTAGAAACAATTATCCAGAGGTCGCCAATAGAAGCAAACTCAGTTGTCCAGATGTTGCAGTTATCAGGCGTAGGTAACTATGACAAAAATGCTAAAGGAGCTACTGAAAAGAGTACAAAACATTCATGAAGAGATGGAGAATTTCAAGAGACATACAAACTGAAAAGCAAAATTCTAGAATGTGATATGAGTATACATAGAGATCAATAAACTCGTGATGGCAATTGCAAGAATGAAAATCAAGGATTTGAAAGAAAGGAGTGAACATTCCCAAAGTTGTTGGACATTAACAGAAAATGAAAATTAAAAGTGAGTGGAAATGATTAAGTTGATAAAAACCTAGCAAAACTAATATACTAGTATCAATAGTATTCCCCCAAAGTCATGTTTACCTACAACTTAAGGATATGACCTTATTTGGAAAGAGTGTTTGCAGATGTAGTTAGATAAGGTGAAGTCATACTTAGATTAGGATGAGCCCTAAAATCCAATGACTTGTGTTCTTATAAGAAGGCCCTGTGAAGACAGGAATAGTTTGGAGCAAGCAATGCAGTTGCAAGTATAACATTGCCAACAACCAGAAACTGGGAAGGAGCAAGGGAGGATCCTGCACTACAGCCTGCAGAGGGAGCCTTAGAGGAGGGCCAACATAAACCACTAACAAAAATTGACAAATATGAGAAAGGAAAATCAAAGACTAATATCCTTCATGAATAATGAATACAAAAATACTTAAAATAGTAGAAATTTAGCAATGTTAAAAAAAAGATTATGACCAGGTGGGCTTTATGATTTAAAAATCCCAGTAAAACAATGGAAAAGGATCTTCTCACTTGATAAAGAACATCTTTGAAAACCTAACAGCTAATATACTTAATGGTTTAATACTAATTCCCCTGTATTAGAAAGAGACAAAGATAGCTCTTCTATTTCCTTGTATTCAACAATCCAATAGGAGTCCTAGTCCATAAAATTAAGTCAAGGAAAAGAGGAAAATAGGTTAGGAAAAAGGGAAAGTGTGCTTTTACGAGTACTCTGAAATTTTCAAAACTAATTTTGGACTAATAAGTGAATTTAGCAAGGTCACAGGGTAAAAAGTCAATAAAAATGACAAAAATAACATAAAAGCACAATATCATGAAACTGTCATATACAGTATCATGTAACTGTCATACAATATCATGAAACTGTCATATACATTACAACAAATCTGATAACACTAGAATTTACAGAAGTTACTAGGAAGAATTTTAAAGTAAATGGCAAGGTATATCACATGCATTGGAATACTCAAGAGGCACAATATCTTCATGATGATTTCTGGCTCTAAAGTAAATCCTAACAATTCCAACAGGGTATTTTGAAGAAGTTGACAAGCTGATTCTAAAATGTGAAATTCACGGCATCTATAACAGCCAAAGCAAAAGTTGATGGACTTAACACTATCTAATTGCAAGATTATGTTACAATAAAGAAGACAATGTAGTGTTGACATAAGGATAGGTGAATACACCAGTGGAACAGTGTAGAGTCGTAAAATATAGACTAAACACTAATTCAAGTGATTTTCAATCAGAGTCAAGAAAATACAGTGAAAAAAGGGAAAAGTTTAGCAATCGTGTTCTAACCAAAAAACCCGAATGGAAAACAATGAACCTCAATATTTCACTCTTGTACAGACATTTTGAGTGCATCACATACCTTCAAGAAAGAGCCAAAACTATAACACTTCTAAGTGAAAACCTAGCAAGCTATCTTTGTGATGTTTGAGAAGACAGTTTTCTTAGGAACAAGAAAGGGAAAACTTATAAAAAGGGCTTTTTCGTATTTAAGATTTCTGTTTATCAAAAGATACCCTTAAGAACCTGACTAGGCAAACCAGTTTGGTTTGTGTACAAATGTGTATTTTACAAGGAACTTATGTACAGAATATATGAAGAATTTTAACAAATCAAAGAAGATAATGGATTATCCACTTTACTAAAATGAGCAAACAACAGATACTTCACAAAAGAAGATATATGACTACACAAATTGCTCATGAAAAGATATGCAGCATCAGAATGTTAGCTGCCTCAAGATAACTACTACATACTCACTAGTATGGCTCTAGTACAAAAATAGTGACAACAGCAAATGCTGATGAGAATGTGAGAAACTGGAATTCTTGCCTTGCGGTGAATCATTTTGGAGAACAGTTTGGTAGATTCTGTTAAAGCTAAACATACCTACTTCGTGACCCTGCAGAATCTATTCACAGAAATTTACCTAAGGAATAAAAACATTCACTAGAAGACTATAACAAGAATCTTACCAGCACTCTTACTCATAGAGCCCAAGTAAGACAGTAATCCTAGAAAGACCATCATTAAGAAAATGAATAATCATGTTGAGGTTTATTTATGCAATGGATAACTACTTGGCAAAACAAACTACAGACATGGACAATACATATGAATCACAACAATATTATATTGAGAAAAAGAAACCCCATACAGATGCAAATAACATGCTATATGATTCTATTGGAAGCACAAGAGCAGGCAAAACTATGACAATACAAGTCAGAAAGTTAATGTTTTGGGGGAAACAACCAGAAAGGGGCATGAGGGATTGTTAGGTGTTAAGTTGTAGTCCCCTCTGCCCCATTTATATACTGAAGTGCTACCTCCCAGTACTTCAAAATAAGGCTGTATTTGGAGATAGTATCCTTAAAAAGGTAATTAAGTCAAAACAAGGTCATTAGGATGGATCAATATGACTGATGTTCTTATCAGAAAAGGATATTTGGACATACATATATACAGAGGGAAGGCCATATGATGGGATGAGGGGAGATGGTCATCTGTAAGCCAAGGAGCGAGGCCTCAAGAAATAACCCTGTCAAAATTTTAATCTTGGATGGCTTCAAAACTGAAAAATTTGTTTAAGCCACCAGACTGTTTCTTTGTTATGGCAGTATTAGCAAACTAATACAAAGATCTTACTGGGAATGATGTGAACATTTTCCATTTGGAAGTAGGCAATAATTATATATACAATTGTCAACTCATACTGAACACTTGAGATCTATACTTATTTTAGTTCAATTAAGGAAAGATAAAAAATAAGACAACCTGCTGATGCTTTTGGTAGAAATTGGTGAAATAGATGAAAGTAGCTAACCTATTTTTTTAAAACAGGAAAGCATAAATAAAATGACCATGAAGGAAAATAATTCAAAGAGAAGAAAGTTTAACAGGAGACTTTTGCATAAACTTAAAGAAATTGATATATTCTACCAAACGTCCAGTCTCAGTAAATATAACTTGTCAGAATTGTTCTAATTTGTGGTCAAAAATTTAAACCAACAAATTTTCATGGAATAGAGAACCTCAACATTATATGTAAATTGTTTTGATAGAAAAACAATCAAGATTTTGTGTGGAATATAACATAGAAACAAACTATTCATTTGCTAAGACTGCCATAACAAAATACCACATTGGCTTAAATAGCAAAAATGTATTTTCTTGTGATTCTGGAGTGTCAGCAGGTTTGGGTTTGAAACCTCTATCCTTGCCTTGCAGATGAGTGCCTTCGTGCTGTGTCTTCATACATGTCCTTATAAAGACAGCAGTCAGATTTTTTCAGAGCCCACACTAATGGCCTAATTTTAATTAAATCACCTTGTTAAAGGTCTTATCTCCAAAAAGTCACATTTTGAGGAATTGGGGATTAGAACTCAACATAGAAATTTTACAGGTATACAATTCAGCATATAACACTCCACCCTTTTCTTGAACTACCAAAATTCAAAGAGAATACTCAGGCAAGTCAATGTGATATGAGAACTCAGAAAAGCTACTCAGAACAAAATTCAGAAAAACAAGTCAGAAATAATAAACAGAAGGTAAAAATTGAAGCTTAAAATGACAAAAATTTCAGGGTGTAAGTAGTTGAATAAATGAGATCAAGCACTTAAGGGAAAGCTATGAAAGCAGAATGGAGAATCAAACCAAATTGAAGATCATAATGCACAAAGAACCTAGGTGGAAGAAGAGAGAAATAAGATGAAAAATTAAGGAAGAAGCACTTTGAGAAATATCTGACTCCATTAGGAAAGACAGCAAAAGGATAATGGGCATCCTAAAATAGTAGAAGGGGAAGATATTTTGTGAGGGGTGAGGGGGACAAAGAGTTTATTCAAAGAAATATTAGAGGGAAAATTCCAAACCTGGGGAAGGAACTAAATATAAAAGTCCATGAAATTAAAAGAACACCTGGTTAAATGCACACATAGTGAGACTACCAAGAGTTAGAGACAAAAAATGTCAAAGGTGGCTAGGTTAAAAAAAAAAGTATAAAGATACTCCCATCAAGTCTTCATCACACTTCTCAGGAGACTCTGTAAGCCAGAAAGAAATGGAAACATGACCAAAATACTCAGAGATAAAAATTACCAACCCAAAACACTATAGCCTGCCACACTCTCAAGTATAGGAAATAAAGACCTCAGGAAAACAAAAGCTGAATAAATTTGCCAACACTATACTTCCCCTACAAGAAATGATGAAAATAGTTCTCCAATGTAAATTGAAGAGATGAAAATCCATAAAAATATGAACAATGAAAACTGAAGACAAAATGGAGTAGCAAACCCTCATATCAAAGATCACCTTTAATGTAAATGGACCAATGATGAACAATCAAAATGCACAGAAAGACTGGTTGGTTGAGAAAAGAAAATCCAGTGTACTGTTGTCTCCAGGAGACCAATCTGATCTCCAAAGAGAATCATAGGCTCAAAGTAATAGATTGGGAAACAATCCTAAAATTAAATTGTGATGCTTACAAAGGCATCACAATACATCAGGAAGATATAGCACTCATCAAGATATATGCACAAAATGAAGGCGCAACAAGATATATAAAGCAAGTATTAACAACACAATAACAATAGCAACACAGTAGTAGTAGAGGACTTTAGTACCCCGCTTACAACAATAGAGAGATCAACCAGAGAGAAAATCAACAAGGTAACCACAGCCTTAAAAAGGGAATTAAAATAGATGGGCTCAATAGGCACTTGTTTATAGGGCATTACACCTCAGAAAACCTGAGTATAAATTCTACTCAGTGCACATGGAAACTTTTCAAGGCTGGACAACATGTTGGGACACAAGATAAGTGTCCATAAATTCATGATGATTTATCATACCAAGTATCTTTTCAGATCACACTGGTTTTCTTTTTTTTAATTTTCTTATATTGTTGTTGATTTTTGTACAGTAATTGCTTTCTTCCCTCAGGTGTAGTCCCCATAGCTCTACCGCCATAGCACCTGTGAACAATCACTATATTTCCTTGTGCTCTTCCCTCCCCTGTTTAGACACCCCTACCTTTTCTCCCTTGCTGTATGCCTCAAATCTGGTCAGCTTGCAAGCTTTGTCTTTTTTTTAAAGATTTATTTATTTTATACAAGAACTGGGGTACAAGCCAGAGTTGCGGGACAATGAGAGGATTCACCAGAGACAGAGCAGGGAGCAGAACAGGCAGGCGGACTGACAACTCTGCTGAGGGGAGCAGCGGGCGAGACAGAAGAGGTCTGCCACGCCATGTGGGTATCTCCCTGGCCAGCCGAGAATCGAACCCATGCTACAGAGGCTGCAGACAGCTTCACAGCACTGTGCTCAACCCACTGCACCATTGGGGAGGCCGGCAAGCTTTGTCTTTTTCTTGACCTTTTGTTCAGTTACTCTATATCATGCATATACATGAACCCTTCCAATATTCATCTTTTTCCTTCTGATTTATTTTGGTTAGCATAATCCCTTCAAGCTCCATCTATGTTGCCACAAGTGGTATGTATTTTTCTTTTATGATCATTTAGCATTCCATTGTGTATATATATCAAACTTTTTGATCCATTCACCTATTTTAAGGCATTTGGGTTGTTTCCATATGTTGGGTATTGTAAATAGTGCTACAGTAAACATAGAAGTGCAGGTTTCCTTTCAAATTAGTGTTTTCAGTGTTCTTTAGATAGATTTCTAGCAGTGGATTCACTGGATCATATGGTATACCTATTTTTAGTATTTTGAGGAACCGCCACACGACTTCCCATAGTGGCTGGAACAATTTACATTCCCACCAGCAGTGTAAGAGAATTCCTTTCCCACCACATTCTCACCATTTGTTGTTTCCAGTTTCTTTTTAATAATGAGCCATTCTCACTGGTATATAGTGAGTGGTACCTCACCATGGTTTTGATTTGCATTTCCCTGATAATTAGTGATATTGGCCATTTTTTACATATGCCTGTTGGCCATTTGCATTTCTTCTTTGGAGAAGAGTCTTTTTAATTCTTCTGCCCATTTTTTTGGACTGTGTTGCTTGCTTTGTTTTTGTTGAGTTGTGTAAGTTCTTTTCAGATCTTTGATATCAGTCGCATCTGCTGTATGGTTTGTAAACATTTTCTCCCATTCCGTAGGATGTCTCTTCATTTTGATTACTGTTTCTTTTGCTGAAGCTTTTTTGTTTGATATAGTCCCAGCTGTTTATCTTCTTTGTTTTCCTTGCTTCTGGAGATGAATCCTCAAAGAAGTTTCAGATATTTATGTCATTGAATGTTTTGCTTATGTTCTCTTCTATATATTTTATGGTTTCAGGTCTTATATTCAAGTCTTTTATCCATTTTGTGTTGATTTTTGTGTATGGTGTGAGATAGTAGTTTAATTTCATTCTTTTGCATGTCTTAGTCCCAACACCATTTATTGAAGAGGATTTCTTTGTTCCAGTGTATATGCTTTGCTCTTTTGTCATAGATTAGTTGGCCATGGATAACAGTGGTATTAAACTGGAGATCAAAGATAAAAAGACAGTGGGGAAAAAATGATCAAATATGTGGGGACCAAACATTCAACTACAGAATAAGTATTGAGTTGAATCAAAATAGAAATTTAAAAAATACCAGGAAACAAATGAAAATAAAGATATATGGTACTAGAAACTGGAAGCTATACTAAAAGGAGAGAAGTATGTATAACATAAGTGCCCATCAAGAGACAAGAAAGGTCTCATATAAATAATCTAACCTTAAACTTTAAGGAAGTAGAAAAGAACAAGACCAAAAAACATTGGAAAGAGGTAATAAAAATCAGAGCAGATATAAACCATATCAAAACAGTACAAAAGGTCATTGAAACCAAAAGTTGATTTGTCAAAAAGAAAAAAAAAAATAGCCTCTAGCTAGGCTCACTATGCAAAAAAGGAAGAAAAATTTATTAGCATCAAAACCAAAAGAAGTTACCAGTACCAGTAAATTGGTTAAGCTACAAGAAATGGACAAACTTTTAGAAGTATACAATCTTCTTAGACTGAGTCAGGAAGAAACAGAAAGCCTGAATAGACCATTTAAGGCAATGAAACTGAAACTGACTAAAAAGCTTCCCAAAAAAAACAAAAGTCTAGGACCAGATGGTTTCACTAGTTAGTTCTACCAATCCCTCAGGGACAAATACCTATCCTTCTCAAACTCTTCAAGAAAATAGAATGCTTCCAGATGTAATTAGGAAGTCAAGAAATATACAATGGAGTAAAGAGTCTCTTGAAATCATGTTGGGAAAACCAGACAGTCACATGTAAAATACAAAAGAAAAATTAAGAATGAAACCCATTTACAATAGAATCTAAAAGAATTAAATGCTTACAAATAAATCTAAGGAGGTAAAAACTCATATGCCAAAAAATACAAAATATTGTGAAAAGAAAGATCTTTATAAGTGGAATTGTTTCCCATGTTCATGGATAAGAGAACTTCATATTGTTAAAATGTTACTACACAAACCTTGTACTAAGTACAAAAATTGTACTTAAGTGCAATACAACCCAAAGTAGTCTACAGATACAACACAATCCCTGTCATCTCCCAAGTCATTTTGTTCAGAAACAGAAAAGCCAAGCTCCAAATTCATATGGAATTATAAACGTTCCCAAGTAACAAAAACAATCTCAAAAATGAAGTTTAAAGTTGGAGGTCTCATGCTTTATTACTTTGAAACTTACTACAGCATTATAGTAATTAAAATAATATGGCATTGGCATAAGGACAAGCATCTACACCAATGGAATAAAACAGTCTAGAAACAAACCATCACCTAGGGAGCAATTGATTTTCAAGTAGGATGTCAAGATCATTTAATAGGAAAAGGACAGTCTCTTCAACAAATCATATCTGAAAAGCTGTACAGACCATATGCATAAAAGTGGAGTTGAACCTTTACCGTATCATATACAAAAATTAACTGAAAATTGACTGAGATCTAAATTTCAGCACTTAAACTAGGGACTCCCTGGTGGCACAAGGGGTTAAGCACAGCATTGTGAAGCTATCTGCAGCCTCAGCTGTCAAGTTCAATCCCCAGCTGGCCAGGGAGCTACCCACATGGCACAGCAGTCCTCTCCTGTCTCACCTGCTGGTCCCCTCAGCAGTGTATTTCAGTCAGACTGCCTGTTCTGTTCCCCACTCTGTCTCTGGTGAATCTTCTCACACCTCTGACCTGTATCCCAGTTCTTGTATGCATAAATAAATCTTTAAAAAAAACCCTGAAACTATGAAGTTCTTAGAAAAAAAATGAAGTACTTCATGGCATTTCATATGATGCCAAAAACACAGAAATAAAAGAAAAACAGACAAACTGGATTTCATCAAAATTAAGAAGCTTTGCATCAGAGGATCCTATCAAAAAAGTATATTGTAAACTTTAAACTCGTCTATCCTGCCTCAACATACCAACAAACAAGCTATGAGCACTTCACCCAGATGATCAGAGTCACCATGTGATAAGGTTGCATCTGCCACAAATTTTGCTTACAATTCCCTGTGACCTAGTAATAAATATGCCGATGAAATTGCCTCCGATTTTTGCTTGTGTACTCCACTGGGACTCTTAATAAAGGTATCTAACCACAGATGCTCCCTACCTACATGCTGAGTCCACTTACCTGGTGTTCCTCTCATGTGACTTCTTAGCATGCAATGACTGTTTCTTTAGGATCTGTCTGTACAGTAAACTTTCTTTCCCTGAGCTGCTCCTGTTCCTGCTCTTGTGGCCACAACTCATTGAGCATCACCCAAAACAACACAAAATAAGTGTCAAGAACAGGAAGACTTAATCATCAGGAGATAGCAAAAGAGACTTAAGGGATGCCCCCTGACTACTCTTAGCTTACTAATTCAATATCCCAGTTGGACTCTTCCATCTGGGAAAGCTTGATGTAGTATGGCATCACTGTGTGCTACTTTGCACCTGGCAGTTGGGGGACTGCCAATGCTTCCTGTCCTACATTGTAGACCTCTTTCTCCTAAAATAGCACAGGATTCCAATTTCAGCTAGCCCTGACTTGACGAGAGGGAAAAATATCTTCCCAGCTTTTTCTACTTTACACATAGTGGCACAATTGACTAAAAATATTAAGAGGTCTCCACCAGAATCTAGGATATCAGGCTAGTTATTGATTCATCAGCATATAAAGGTGGCAGCAGTACAGGAGTGCTTCCTGTTGTTCAAGTTTCTTGTCTTTGTGTTCTGCAAGTTCCTCCACATTCCAAAATAGTAAAGGGGCAGCCCCTACAAGAGACCTTCACCAGGCACTCTCTAAGGCTTGATGCTGCTGGCCACCTCTTTTCTACCCCTTTTCTGTTTCATACCTTACTACTGTAGTTTTTTATCTCCTCACCGCAGGAAATATTGAAAGCCCCATCCCTGGCAATTAATGGCTCAGGATCTGATATGGTGGAGATAGGAATGTTTGATTCTGGAAACTCCCACATACCTGGGGAGGTTAGCCAATGACTCAAAAAATGTAAAACTGCTTTGCAGTGTGGCTACGCTCTCAGCATGCCAAGGTAAGGTCTAAGACCTTTTCCCAGACCTGCATCTGCTCTCAGATGCAGACCCCAACCCAGCTGAAATCAATTTGGGCATCCTCGAGATCGGGCGTTAATGAGGCCGATCAAGAGAAGGACTCATCCAAGGTCATTCTGGTCACAACCCAGTGAGTAAAAAGGATGGGGATGCTAAGGAACTAGAAATTGTTACTTACACAGGACTTAGTAGAAATTGTTACTAGCAATTGTTACCTACACAGAAATTCAAAATATTCTCAGAGATGATGTTCAGGGAAACAAAAAGAACAAAGCCAATAGGTTACCCAGAGAGTTTAACCTGGGCTCGGACGGAACTCCTTCCTTTGATCACAGATGAAGCAGCTTGTTGTTCTGTTTGTTATTCATTGTTGCCTAAAATGCAAATTCACTTAAAGACTTTTTGACCCTCTGAACTCTATTTTTACGTAAAATTTTGTGATGTCCCCTTTGAAACAAACCCCAAGGAGTTATTCTTGCAGATTGTTCCTCCTGACTACACCAGTAGTTAACCTTACCTGCATTTCCTGCACTGTATGGAAGACCATAAATGGAATTGACCTTCTGGCACTGCATGAGAGCTCCACCCAGCTTGACTCAAATTCTGACTACTAAGCCCTGCTTTCTGATACAAAAGGAACTCTCCACCTCCCACCTCCTGCACCCCACCTATACCACGTTGCCTACCTTTTCTTGTCCAACTCATTGACTCTCCCTAATGGTCTCTAAGTGACCCCGTTGGCCCTATTCAGGATTAGAAATTGAGAGGCTGTCTTGCATCTGTCCCGGCCTGGGTAGGTTCACCATCTGTTCGGGCAGCTTAAAAGAGAATCTTGGCTCCTTCGGCATCATCCCCACAGGTTTTTTTTTTTTTTTTTTTTTTTTTTTTTAACAGTATGCAGGGGAAACAAGCCAGCAGGGAAACAGCAACTTGGGCCCCCTGTGAATCTTTACACTCTCATTCCTCTGGGCTTCCTCTCTCAGCTGTCGCTCCTCCTTTTTATATTGGTCTTAGAGTAATGCTGCCCTTATAGTCTCAGCTTCCAGGCGCAGGTGTGCATACTTACGCATGCCCCCCTCATACTCGGGGTGGTCTGTTTTATGACTTAAAACTAGTTGCTCTTAAATTGCAACAATTAAAGGAGATTGTATTAAAAGGACCTCATTCCTTTCCCACATATCTGGCGGCTTAGCGTTATCCATCTCACCCGAACCACCTGAGATACATCTAGTCAGTATTCAGACCTCTGAAATTGGCAAGCCCTGCAACCTCTTCAACAGGCATTCTGTTATTCCTGAATCTTGTCCCACTACCTACGGACAGTAGCCCATATACAACTCTAGTGGTTAATCAGAACTCTAAAATTAAATATTTTCTTGCTTTACTATATACGAAATCCCAAATTACCATCACTCAACAGCAACCCATCCAAAGTTAAGGGAAACATCTCAAATTATGGGGTAGTTCCTGTAAAACCATTCATAGCAAACAGATTCCACTAGATGTCGCTGTTGGAACACTAATAAACAATTGCCCTTTGAGGCGCCTCTGGCTTTGAATTCCCTATTACAGGTGCTATTGCATGCTGGCTGCAACACTGAAACGAGCGAAAGTCTTTGGCCTTACTACTTACAAGTGGGATCTGGTGGAGCTGCCCCCAACAGTAAAGATACTAAACCTTCCGCAAAACCCTTGAGATAAAATTATTCAAAATAATTCAAAATAATAACGCTTGAGACATTATTATTCAAAATTTACTAAAATAAATGGGTCATTAGTCCTGTTTTCCTCCTTTCAACAGTCCTATTTGTCAAGTCTTAAAAGATTCCACCAACTAGTCATGCTTAACTATTATTGAAATCTCAGAATTCAAGTTCTCCTCATTAAGGCTCTAATACGTAATTAACATGATCAACTTAATTGAAGAGACTCAATGGTCACCTGGTGACTATTTCATCATAAAGTGTCTGGCCAGTAGGTTTTATTCATTGCCTGTTATCAACTAGTCACACTCTTAGTTTACCTTTATCTTTAAAGAAACACAATGTACATTTGTCCTACTGTCCATGACTTAAACAACAGAGAGATTGCCCACAATTTGTGCCGCCAGGACCTGTTCATACTCTGCTCTAAGACTTCTCCTTGTTGGTACCACATAGATGATATTCTGATACAGGACCCCTTCAAGGAGAATTTGGATGCCCTTACAAATCAGAAACAGGCTGCACACAAAATCCAGGGATCAGTGGATATAATCTGGTCTTCTGATGCTTGCCAAATGCCATATCACAACTAAATATCAGCTTTTACAGCTCAACTCAAACCAGTTCCTCTCTAGGCTCATACCTGTTAGGTTTCTTCAGGTCTGACAATGTCACATTCCAAAACTTTGAATTTTACTTTAGCTTATTTACGAGATGACTCTAAAGGCTATCACCTTCCTTGTGGAGGGAGTAGCAACAACACTCATTGGACAAGCAGGTTATACAACCAGGTCTGGTTCTCCCTGAATCAGTTTTAGACTTGGGGCATTGGTCATTCCTGAATATTCCTCCTGGGGCTTCTGGTCTTAAGCATGATGAAAAGTACCTCCCAATTGGGTTTTGGATCAAGAGGCTGCCATAAGTCACTACCTGTAAAGCATCAAATATTAACTGCCTCCTGGACCCTTATAGAGACAGAGATTTCATTGTCCCAGACAGATTTCCATCCTATGATGGTGAAAGATTTTTCCCAGCACTGGATTAAGCAAAAAAGGAAACTTCTTTGCTTAAGTGGAAATGTAACCTACCATAATGGGTCAAATCTGAGAAATAGGAACTTCCCAAGTTGCAGAAGGATGTGGTATCTCCCATACTCAGCCCTGTGCCCACAGACCTTAGAGACAGTAATGGTGCTCCCATTGCCTCCTCCTGTGATGAAATTGGGACTAAATAAAATTCAGGACTAAATAAAATTCAGCATCCATTTATAATAAAAAGCATTGAAAAATTGGGAGTAAATGGAATGTATCATAACATAATAAAAGTCATATATGACAAACTCACAGCTAGTATCATTCTCAATAGTGAAAAACTGAAAGCCTCTCCACTAAGATCTGGTATACAATGGTGGGTGTCCACTTTCACCACTACTATTCAGCATAGTATTAGAAGTCCTAGTAGAGCAATTAGGCAAGAAAAAACAATAAAAGGAATCCAAATTGAGAGAGAAGAAGTAAAGTATCAATATTTGCAGATGATATGATAATATACGTAGAGAACCCCAAAGGCTCAATGGAAAAATTAATTAAAATAATCAACCAATTCAGCAAAGTGGCAAGTTAAAAAATCAACACAAAAAAATCAGTTGGCTTCTTATATGCAAACAATGAGATTGAAAAAGAAGAAATCAGGAAAGCCATCCAATTTATAATCTCACACAAAAAAATTAAATGCCTGGGAATAAATGTAACAAAGGAGGTGAAGGATCTATACATGGATAACTGTAAAGCTTTGCTAAAAGAACTAGGACAAGACACAAAGAAATGGAAAGATATTCCATACTCATGAATAGGAAGAGTCAGCATTTTCAAAATGGCCATCCTACTCAAAGCAACTCACAGATTCAATGTAATCCCAATAAAAAATCTGAATGACATTCTTCAAAGTAGAAGAACAAACATTATTAAAATTCATATGGAACCACAAAAGAGCCCAAATAGCCAAAGCTTTCCTGAGTCAAAAGAGGAAAAATGGAGGTCTCATACTTCCAAACCTCAAACTATAATGTAAAACCATGATAATTAAAACAGCATGGCACTAGAACAAAAACAGACACACAGATCAATGGAATAAAAGTGATAGTCCAGATGTAAAACCACACATTTTTTTGTACAACTAATTTACGCAAAGCAGTAAAGTGTATACAATGGAATGATGAAAGCCTCTTCAATAAATAGTGCTGGAAAAATTGGATGGTGACATGCAAAAGAAACTAGATCACTATCTTACACCATACACAAAAATCAACTCAGTGGGTAAAAGAC